AGTGCACCACACTAGGGCTGTGGGTTACATCCGCAGGGCCAGGCTTGCAACCGGCCCCATGTGGCCCTCGAGCTCTGCGGGGTTACTCAGGGGCCCTTTTCTGCTGTTCCCCCCTGCTGTGGGGTGGGTGGGGAGCAGGCGTGGCCTGTTGGAATGTGTTCCACGGAGTGGGCAGCTGGACCTTGGGTGGGGGCTGGGCAGGAGTGCGGTCGCCTATGGGTGTCAGCGCAGTCTGCCGGGAGACCCCTTCCCCAGCCCCGGGCGTTCAGTTACACGTGGTCTGGAAGTGGCTCTTTAAGGGTGTCTGAGTCACGGGTGCTACTGGCTCCGGTTTGCTGGCTGGTCCTGCAGCACCCCTGGCACTGCGGCTTTCTTCCTCAGGGGGCCCTTCAGCACATCTGGGACTTTAGCGGTGTGAACTTCCCCAGAGCAGTGCCCTGCCCGTACCAGCCAGGACTCCAGCAGGATGCAACTGCCCCACCTCCTCAGCCAAGCCAGGCCTCACCGATAAGGTGTGAACGCTGCAGGGGCGGAGGTCTGCAGGCCGGAGGTTTTGCATTCCCTTTGAGCACAGGTTCTAGCGCTGTTTTTTCTCAGCCAGGGCCTGGCCTGGGGCCGGGTTACTCTGCGCTTTCCGAGGCAGGACTTGGCCCTAAGGCACCACCATGGAACTACAATAAACGGGGAGGGGTCTGGGCTGGCCCGGGGCAGCTCCGGGCAGGAGTGGGGCGAGGCGGGTTGGCGCCAGGCGCTCCTGGGTTCTGTGTCCAGCGCAGCGGGGCCGTGTCTCTGTGGAGACGGGCAGGGGGGTGCCGGGGTGAATGCGGGGACGGCCGGTGCGGTGCGAGGTGGGTACGTGCAAAGGGCTGCTGCTGCGCACAGGGAGGAAGCGGCCGGTGTTTTCTGGTGTGCTGCCCGCCCCGTCTCCAGTCCCACCTGAACTCTGCCCCTGTGGTATACGTGCTCCCCGCGGCATCCCAGCCTACGCTCCCCGCTGCTGCGGAGGGTTGATTCCTGCTTGTCAGCAGTGGTGTGTGTGTGTGTGGGGGGGGTGAATTCCCGCACGTTCGCCTAAGTCTCTTTATCTCCCTTATCTTGGTCTCCGTCCCTCCCCCCTGTGGGGAACAGCTCGAGCAGGGCTTCCTCCGCCAGCTGCTCCCCACCCCTGCATTCTCTGCAGCCCCCAGGCGGGCGTGGGCCCTGAGTCATGTTCCCGCCCCCCCCAC